ATCCACTGAGCCACAACAGCCAGACAAAGAGCTAATGTTTTTGAAAAAAAAAGTAATTGAATAATGAAAAAAATATTTTATATTTTCTGTTATTTATTTATTTATTTATTTAATCCTCACCCGAGGACATTTTTCCATTTTTTGTACAGATAGAGTGGGAGGGAGAGAGAGAGAAACATCGATGTGAAAGGGACACATCGAGTGGCTGCCACCCGCACGACCAGCCAGGGCCGGGGACAAACTGCAACCGAAGTACGTGCCCTTAGCGGGAACTGAACCCGGGTCTCTCCTGACCGCAGACGGACGCTCTAACTGCTGAGCCAAACCAGCCAGGGCTATTTTCTGTGTTTTATGTAAGAAGTTTTTGCTTACTCAAAGACCACAAAGATTTTTCTCATATGATTTCCTCTATAAGCTTTATAATTTTAGGTTTTACATTTGGATCTATGATTCATTTTGAGTTATTTTTGTATATGATTTAAGTAAGGGTTGATGTTCATTTTTAGTACAACTTGTTAAGACTTATTTCCTCATTGCCTCAAGATTGAATTGCTTATATATATGTGGGTCTATTTCTGGATTCTGTATTCAGTTTCATTGATGTATATGTCTATTTTTTTGAGTACCAAACTGTATTGATTACGGTAACGTTTTAGCATATTTTTTCTTTATTAAAATTGTTTTGAATATACTAGGTTCTTTGTATTTTCATATGTGATTAGAATAAGCTACTCAGTTTCTACAAAAAGGTTTCTGGGACTTGATTATGATTCTATTGAATATATAGACATCAGTTTGGGTGAATTGCCATCTTGAAAATTTTGAGTCTTCCATCATGAACATATGACATATATTTCCATTATATTTAGGTATTCTTTAAATTCTTTCAGCAATATTTTTTAATTTTCAGTGTAAAAAACTTAGACATATGCAGTTAAACTTATTTTTAGGTATTTTGTGGTTTTGGTATTATTGTAAATGGAATTCTTAAATTGTTATTTTCCATTTGTCTTTTAGTAGTGTAATTGTTTATTACTGGTACAATTGATTTTAGTATATTCAGTTTGTATCCTGTGATCTTGCTAAATTTGTTTACATTTTCTATGTAAACAACATTATCATCTGTAGTAAGAACAGCTTTATTTTTCTTCCCTAACTTGTATGTCTTTTGTTTTTCTTGCTTTATTGCAGTAGCTTGACTTGCCAGAAGGATGTTGAATAGATGTGGTAAAAATGGACACCCTTCCCTTATTCTTGAACTCAAGGAGAAGCAATTAAATTTTACACCATTAAGTATGATATTAGCTGTAGTTTCTTTTTTAAAAGTACATAACACTAGTATCCAGATGTTTTTTAAAAATATCTTTTTATTGATTTTTTTTAGAGAGAGAGAAAGGGTGAGAAGGATAGAAACATCAATGTGAGAGAGAAACATCAATCAGCTGCCTCCTGCATGCCCCTTTTGGGGATCGAGCCCAAAATCCAGGCATATGCCCTGACTGGGAATTGAACCCGAACCTCTCAGTCCATGGGATGACACTCAATCCACGGAGCAACACCAGCAGGCTAGGGCAAGTTTTAAAATCTGATAATGTCTTGCCCGGCCTGTGTGGCTCAGTGGTTGAGTGTTGACCCATGTACCAAGAGGTTGCCAGATTGATTCCCAGTCAGGGAATGACTGGGTTGTGGGCCCAATCCCCAGTGGGGGGCATGCAGGAGGCGGCCAATTGATGTTCTCTTTCATTGATGTTTCTGTCTCTCCCTCTCCCTTCCTCTCTCTCTCAAATCAAAGAAAAAAATAAAATAAAATCTAATAATGTTTTAACTTTCTCATACTTAAAGAGTATTTTTTGCTGGCTATCAAATTCTTTGTTGATAGTATTTTCTTTCAGCTATTTGAAAATGCTATCCCACTGCTTTCTGACCTCTGTGGTTCCTAATACAAAATCAGCTGTTAATTTTATTGAAGGTTCCTCGTACTTGATGAGTTGACTTCTATGTTGCTCCATTTAAGATTTTGTTTTTTTTTTCTTTTCGCCTTTTGGTTTTTTATATGTTTAAGTATGGACTATTTGTCATAGGTGGAAAAAGAAAGTGATAAATCCTTTACAAATTATTTAATTTCAGACTATTTATGTCTGTTGTGTCTGACTTTTTATTCCCATCTAGCAATGTATGCTTTTTATTGGAATGTTTATTCTATTTATATATCTGTTCTATTTTAATGTAACTATTGATAGTTGGATTTAAATGAACTATTTTGTTATTCATTTTCTTATTGTCCCTTCTGTTTTCTGTTACTCTTTTACTGCCTTCATTTGGGTTAATTAATTTTTTTTTTAGTATTTTATATTTCTTGTATTGGATTCTTAGTAATACTATTTTAATGGTTGCTCTAAACTAACAATTTGCACTCATAATTTAGCAAACTCTTTTTAAACTTTTTTGTTTAAAAATTAAATTTTAGAGTGCATTTAGGTTCACAGCAAAATTGAGAGGAAGGTATACAGATATCCTATATACCCCTCACCCTCACACGCACATATAGACTCCCCCATTACAAATATCCCCCATGAGAGTGGTATATTTGTTAAAACTGATGAACCTACATTGACATATCATAATCACCCGAAGTCTATAGTTCACTCTTGGTATTGTACATTCTATTAGTTTGCATAAATATGTAATTACAAGTATCCATTCTCATAGTCACACAGAATATTTTTATTGCCCTAAAACTTTATCTGGCTCTGCAATAATTCCCTTCTTCCCCCAACCTCATATTTTTACTATTTCTTTTGTTTTGTGTTTTTCAGAATGTTATAGAATCATACAGTGTGTAGCCTTTTTCGATTGAGTTCTTTTGCTTATTAATATACATTCAGTTTTTTTCCATGTCTTTTCATGGTTTGATAACTTATCAAACCCTTTTAGGAGTCAGTATTTTACCACTTCATACTAAATACTTTGTTTATACTTGGTACTTTGAACTTAGTGATAACTACTCTTGTTTTTGTTTTTGTTTTCTCAGATGTATTCCTTCTGCTTTCTACTTCCCACCTTACAAATGTAGTAACCTCACACCAGTTTAATTATATTTATCCATCCCAATTCTTCTTATTATTGTCATATATTTTGTTTTTATACAAAGTATGTCATTGTTTAAATATTTACTTTAAACAGTTAATTGATAGCCTTTTTAAAAATTATGAGACAGCCCTGGCCAGTTTGACTTAGCAGTTGAACAAAAGGGTCAAGGGTTTGATTCCCAGTCAAGGGCATGTACCTGGGTTGCAGGTTCGATCCCTGGCTTGGTGTGGGAGGCAACCAATCCATGTATCTCTCTTATATCGATGTTTTTCTCTCTCTCCCCACCTCCTCCCTTGTACTCTATCTAAAAAAATCAATGGAAAAATATCCTCGGGTAAGGATTAACAATAACAACAACAACAAAAATGATGAGACAAAAAGTCTTATATTTACATACTATTTACTATTTTTATGATGTTCATTTATTCTTATAGACATGAGTTCCATTTACCATCTTTTAGATTTCCTTGTAATGCAGGTCTGCTGGAAATGAATTTTCTCTGCTTTTGTTTATCTGAGAATGATTTCGTTTACTCTTGTTTTTAAGGATATTTTCATTGGATATTGAATATTCAGAATTTTATTCTTTCATCACTTTAAAAATTTCATTACTGTCCTCCATGATTTCTGAGAAAAAGTCAATGGTCATTCTTATTGTTGTTCTTTTGTATGTATTATGGCTACTTTTCCCTGTTTGCTTAAAAAATTTTCTGTTTATGTTTGGTTAAAGTTTAATTCTGAGTGATTTTGGGTTTCTTTCTTTCTTTCTTTCTTTCTTTCTTTCTTTCTTTCTTTTTTTTTTGGATAAAGACTCTAGAGCTAATTTTAAAGCTATAGATTGCTGTGTTCTTCAAGTGTAATACAATACTGACTTCTCAATCAATTGCTTTGTTGATGTTTATAGTCATCTTTACTCTTCTTTAGTAGTTGATAATTTGGTTTGGGAATTCACCAAAGTCTTTGTTTTTTTATTTTATTCTACTATTAACATTTTCAGCAATTCACTGCTCTCGATTATTATAAAAAGGAGAGACAAAAAATGGAAGTTACACTTAAGTTTATACATTTAAAAATATATATGTTTTTATTGATTTTTTTGGAGAGAGAGGAAGGGAGAGAGAGAAACATTGATATAAAAGTGAAGCATCAATTGGCTGCCTTCTGCATGCCCCCTACTGGGGAACGAGCCCACAATCAGGGCATGTGCCCTGACCCAGAATTGAACCGGGACCTCTCAGTCCATGAGATGGTGCTCAATCCACTGAGCCACACCGGCTGGCCGAGTTTATACATTTTTGATTTAACTGTTAGTTCTGTTGGAGAAAATGGAAATTAATTTCATGATTATTTGTAAATTTATCATCGTTATTCTTACATAATAACTGCTTCTAATTTTTTAATTTAAAACAGTATTCTACTTTACATATTGTTTACATGTTCTGATAGAAGTTTGGAGATATACCAAACTCAGTAAAAATGCATATCCCCACTGCATTTGAGAGTTATATAAGATCAAATATATCAGAGTCAGTTTGTATACCATAAAGCTTAATTCAGAATACTTAAGGTATTATCATCCTTGTTTTTCAAAGTAGCAAACTGAAGTTTGGTTGTAATTCTTATTTGATTTACTGGGACTTGACACATGCTCCATACAGCATTCCAATTTGTTAAAGACACAAAAGAATCTGCTGGATAATAAGGACTGCAATACAGGCTGGCATAGGTCAAAGCGTCCTCTTTTCCTGGGCTGCATTCAGAGTCAGCAGCCTTAGAGATTGGTAATGCTGTACCTTTAAGTACTGCATGATGACAAATGTTGCTGTGAGAGCTCCTAATATTTAAATGTACGTACCATTGAACTGCATGGACTTCTATTAAAACCCAGTTCTCTTCATTTTTATCACCAGGTAACCTTGGACGGGTAGACCAGGTCTCTGAGTTTGAGTATGATTTGTTCATTAGGCCGGATACCTGTAATTCACGCTTCCGAGTCTGGTTCAACTTTACTGTTGAAAACGTGAAAGAATCACAGGTGAGGGAAATAGTGAATACCTTCAGTTTGGTTTTGGTATGAAGGTTATGCTTTTGTTTTAGTTTAGGAATATTAAAAAAGTAATGACCATATTGGAATGTATTGTGTATATATAACAGTGATACCGTTTTAAGAGATATAGATAAATAGGTATAATATGTTGTGGTTTTTTTTTTGTTATATAAGGTTATTAAATAATACAAATATATTATCTGAGAACAAAAAATATTCTTTACGGATTGAAGCATTAGCTTGATATGGTAGGCTTTCTTGAGGAATTCAATAAAAAACTATATTAGTGACACATTATGTTTATTATGATGTGCTGTTCTCTATATTATTTCTTCTGTATAAAACCTGTAAATTATTATACATTTCTCACAGGGACTCAGTTTCAGAAAAAGCTTTTCTTCCCCTATACAATAAGATTTTTATATCTTAAAAACAATATGATTCTTGTAACTCATTCTATTTTCCCTTTGCTTTGGCTGATAAAAACTCAGAGCCAATTTTATTGCCCCCCTCTAATGATTTTGGAAAACTTTTTTGCTTGTGTTTCTGTGTACTGACTTAAAAAAAAACAAAACTTGATCATATTAATTTATCTTAAACCATGTACTTTTCAAACAACAGCATCATCTATCCTTTGCTAAATAGAGACTTAGTGGAAATTCTGAAATTACAGTGTTTCTTTAATTTGGGGGCCACATTAAATTCCAAGCCTAGTTTTACTTTCACTTTAGTCTCTCTACAAAGAGAGTCCTTATATAGCTCCTATGGAGGTCAGGAAAAGGGGTGGGAGATAAGATAACTAGAAAGGGAAATTTTGTTTCTTAAGGTATACTGCCTGAGATAGTCTTTGGGACAAATCGCTCATACATTTCAGTTTCTTGTTCTTTGCTCCTCTAGTTTGCCTAGAGGTATGTTTTTGTTGTTTTTTCGAATGCTCTACCAGAGTGTTAAAATATTCATATCATGTGTTAAAGTCATACAGCCTTTTTTGCAGTCTTGTCTACCAATTAAATAAGCAGTAACATGAATGTGTCCCCAGGGATTACTGCAAATAAGAGAGGTGGTGCTGTTTTATAGATCCTTATTTTTAAAGTAGCTAATATTTTCTGTGTCTCTGGATTCTATCTTCATACCCAATACTATCTTACCTTTGTTACAGTTAGAAATCATGAACATGTTTATCTGGTTTTCTGGAACCTGATGTTTTATCAGCCTCTTTCTGTGGGCCATTGCTTCATCAATTGTAATCACATTGTATAGTTATGGAAATCTGTTTTAAGAAGGCATAAAGATCTGGAAAGATACAATATATATCTCTAGCTCACAGGATATTTGTTTTCATGGTTGTCTACATGAAACAGAATGATTTTACTATTAAGTTTGACTTGTGAGGTCTGTCTGTTTTTATAATGTCTCTTCTTATAATCTTTTTCCATCTCTCCAATTTCCGTTAATATGAGAACTGCATGAATGTAATCTAGTCAGGAACCTTATTTACGGTTTGGTACTAGCAGGCAAAAGAAATACTAGTCATCAAAGGCTGACTTCATTAAATATATGTTAAAAATAAAGCATCAATATACTGTATAAACAGGCCTTGCTTTTGTGTTACTTTCTTGATGTTTTTAGGAAGTGATAAAAGTTGGAGCCTACAGTGCTGTATTCCAGGACTGATATATAAACCTCCAAAAATAGTGGCTCTGATATATAAACCTCCAAAAATAGTGACTAACTAGTGTATTTGCAAGAGTCTATGAAAACTGAACATCCTTGTACCCCTTTCTCTCTGAAGAACTTGTATTAAATGTTCTCATGTGTAAATTTACTATCGATGCAGCAGAACATTCATTCGATGTGAAAACAAATCATCCTATTTAAATAATTGCGATAAAACTTAAGCCAATAAGAGGAAATAAAATGGTGTGCCTCGACTATTTAAATTCTTATTTTATTTACTTTATATTTTTATATCTTTTTAAATTTATTTTCCCTTACTGATTATTAAAGTAGTCAATTCTGAATGTAGTAAATTTAGAAAATACAGATAATTATTAGAAGCAGAAGAAAACACATTCACCTACCCACCCATAATCTTACTACCAAAAGCTCAAATACTATTAACCTTTTGGCATATTTACTTCTAGGCTTTTTAATTTTCTATTTTATTTTTTGAAGCATAAATTAAGTTAATACCATATATATATTTAAAGAAATGGAACAGTACATCACAAAGTAATTTATATCATTAAAAATTTCATAAAAATGGCTATATAGTAGCTATTTACTATTGGACCATTTTCTTACTCTTGGGCATTAACCATTGTTATAAATAACACTGTCATGAACATCTTTATGCGTGAAATGTTACCCACCTTTTATTTTGCTTCTTTGAGATAAATTCCTATGGGAGGAATTGATGGCCAAAGGAAATTAATATTTTAAAGGCCCTTGATACATATTTCTAAATTGCTGCCAGAAAGTTATACCATTTCAGCAGTGGATGAGATGTTTTTCTTTGAATTTCTTGCTTTGTTTTATGAACTCAGATGTTCATACATTTAGAATAAATTGATTCTTTTTTCTCATTTACTTTGAAACCACACAAATAAATGGGATATGAAACAATGTTTCAGGCCTTTAGTAATAAAGGAATTAATTGTATTCAAACAATAACATGAGAGAACAAAACAGACCCATTTATTATTTTCACCTTTTTCTTACTTCATCAAATTCTTTTATATGGGTGTGCCAACAGATTGTCCTCTGAGGTATATATGGGGAGGTTTAAAAAGCACAAAACTTTTTTTTTTAAACAATGAAGTATTTCTTACATTATTGTAAACAGTAATGTAACTTAAACACACATGCGTGCACACGCACAACAACATGCGCACTCATTTATATATGACATATCTGATTAGAACTTTAAAATTCCAAGAGAAGATGTAGTCATGAGAGATTAGGATGAATGAAAAGAAATGGAAGGTATTACAGTCATTGTAGTTATTGGTAATATCAAGGGGTAGAATTGACTATGGGAGTAGCTACATAAGGTGTAATGGAAGATAAGATATTAGAGAACTCAAAGTAGCCAGAATATTGGAAAAATTGTCTCTGTAGATATTGGAAAAATATTAGGGAGGCCTGAACAGCAGTTATTGAGAAATGAGGAAAGAGGGGAGTAACAAGATGACATCAGTGAGAGGTAAGAGAGTCAAAGTCACCAATTATCAGAGAGATCCAAATTAAAATGACAATGAGATATCACCTCATACCTGCCAGAATGACTACCGTCAATAAATCAATAAGCAACAAGTGTTGGTTAGGATGTGGAGAAAAGGGACCCTAGTACATTGCTGGTGGGAATGCAGACAGGTGCAGCCACTATGGAAAACTCTATGGAGTTTCCTCAAAAAATTAAAAATTGAACTGCCATTTGATCCACTGATCCCACTTCTAGGAATATATCCTAAGAATCACGAAACACCAATCAGAAAGAATATATGCATCCCTATGTTCATAGCAGTGCTGTTTACGATAGCTATGATCTAGAAACAGCCCAAGTGTCCATCAGGAGATGAGTAGATAAAAAAAGCCGTGGTATATTTACACAGTGGAATACTATGCAGCTGTAAAAAAGAAGGATCTCTTACCCTTCGGGACAGCATGGAGGAACCTGGAGAGTATTATACTAACTGAAATAAGCCAGGCAAAGAAAGACAAGTATCACATGATCTCACTTATTTATGGAATGTAATGAACAAAATAAACTGATGAACAAAATAGGTCCAGAGGCAAGGAAACATGGCACAGACTGACAGATCTCAAAGGGAATCAGGGAGGGCTGGGGGTGGGGTGGGAAGAAATTAACCAAAGAACTTATATGCATATATACATAGCCCATTGACACAGACAATAGTGTGGTCAAGGTCTGGGGTGAAGTGGGAACCAGCTGGAGGGGAGACAATGGGGGGAAATGGGGGACATCTGTAATACTCTCAACAATAAAGATAAATTTAAAAAATAATGAGAGATAGTGGAAGGATAATGTGATGAAATGAGATTTCAAAGCTATGTTCATGGAAGTGAAGGCTCAGTATTATAAAGACATGGTTCTCCCTAAATCAACCTTTTTTTAATATAATTCTAATCAAAATCCCCCAAATTTATTTTATAAAACTTGACAGGCTAATTCTAACATTTATGTAGAAAAATAAAGGGCCAAAAAATAGCCCATCCCCCTTTGAAGAATAATAATGAATGGGTATGTTTATTTTATGGAAGCTTGTATTTCATCTAACAATTTTTGTTTATAGCAGTAGTGATTAAAATAGTTTGCATTGGCATAAGAATGGACAAATAGTCTAAACAAACAGACTGGAACTCAGAAACAAGGATATTTATATAAGGGGACTTGATATCTGACAGGATGCATTGCAAAATAGTAGCAATAGTAGGGTCTATTCAATCAACAGGGTTGTATAGCAAATAATACCCCTATCTCATACTACTGCAGAAACCTTCATAGATTGATTAAAGACTTAAATTTGAAAACAAATTAAAAATGTAAACCATGAAAATAAAATAAATATATATTTTATTGGCTTTTCAAATCAGATTGAATTTCCTGTGAAGGGCACAGAAGAGCAAAATCATGAGAAATAAATTGATAATTTTGAGATTATAAAAAATAAGATCTGCCCGGCTGGTGTGGCTCACTTGTTGAGTGTCAACCCATGCACCAAGAGGTCTCCAGTTTGATTCCCAGTTAGGACACATGCCCAGGTTGTGAGCCAGATCCCCGGGGGGGGGGGGGGTGCAGGAGGTAGCCAATCAGTGTTCTCTCTCATTGATGTTTCCATCTCTCTCACTCTCTCCCTTCCTCTCTCTCTAAAATCAATAAAGAAAAAAAACTAAAGAAAAAAAGATCTATGGAGCAAAAGATTCAAAGTTGAAAGATATGGACTATTCTGGGAAAATAAATACGTGTAATATATTACAGGTAGAAGAATGGTAACCAAAAT